TCTGTGATTCTATGATTCTTTGATTCTATGAAAGTGTTCCTGTAGTTTGGCACTGTGTCACCAGTCTAGTACACATCACTGGTCATAAATTGTGTGAGATGAGAACACAGGGCTGAAGGGAAGGCCATTGATAACCTAGTCCAGCCCCTTACAGTGAACTTAAATTGACCTGAAAACACATAGCTGATTTCATCCCAGGCGGAGGGAGCTTTTCTTAATTTAAATCAAACTGTAGTCATTGGAAGAGTATAGCTTCAGGCAAAGATATCAAAGCTGAATCCAAAGGACTTGCTGTCATTATCTGGGATTGTGTAATGATATGACAGAGGTTTTGGAGACATTCTAGGTAGGTGAGCTTGATACTCAACACCGGCAGGCAGGACCTTGCTGAACATTTCCTGGACCTGACAGTGTTGCTTCAATGCCCACACCTTGCTCAGATATTTTACACAGCCCAGCCTTGGGCAGTGATGGTCTGTTGCAGAGGGAAGAGTTTGATGCATAATGCTTTAGTGCTTGGCAACCCCAAATAACAGTAGATTATTTTCTTCAACAAATCTTTGATTCTCTATAGAAATCTTCTAATTACGGGTTTTCTTTTCAATTTCCATCTTCCTTCTGCTCTTAGATCCTCTAAGCAGAGTGTATTTGAAACCAAAAAATCCATCTGACTCCTTGAGTACCTACATAAATGCTAACTACATTAGGGTAAGTAAATGTACACTCTTCATGTGCTTTTGAGACAATATTTGATTTTCCACATGAATAGCTGATTTTGCCAGGGTGCCACTCATTTTATTCCTACCCATCTTCATTGATAATTCCTAATCTTTCTGTCTACATTGGTGTGAAAGAATAGTTCTGTGAGCTGTTTGTGACAAAGACCACATAGCCATGAATGTACTAAAATGGTTGCAGTAAGAAAATGATTTATCAAATAGTTTATAAAAGAACATTATGAAAAACATGAATTGTTTATGAAAAACATGGATTGTTTACTTCAGTATTTACCATTTAATATTGTCCTACTGCCTTATAGTAAGGAAAAGAGGTTTACCTTTTAACAGTGACAGAGATACCAGTATTTTGGTATAGAGAAGATCAGATGCAACAACAATATGAGCTGTATGGTTGCTCATTGCATCATGTTATCCACAAACATGTTCAGTGGATTTTTTCTGTGCATAAGTGATCAACCAATAGTCCTGATCGTAAATTAAGTAATTAAATAAATACTGTAACATAAAAATGTTAAACAAACACACATGCACCAGCACACACACTTGTCCACATTTTGCTCCTTATATTGAATGGTTACATGATGACAAAAACTTTGCCAGCCTGAACCTGTTGGAAAGCATTATTTTTCTAAGTGTCACCTACATTATAATCCTCAGTAACACACGGAGAGACTCCTTGAAGTTGTGGCACAGCATATGCTGAATAGACTACTAAGAAACTACCTCAGTCCTGGTTTAGGATTATAGTCCTCTACTTGCCAAATTAAATGCTTTGATTAGAGTTATCTACCAGATCCTCAGCTGGAATAAACGTAACAGTGCAACTGCAGTTTGGCCATAGAGCTCTTCAAAGGAGTTGTTTTTTTTAAATAAGAGTACATTAGTATATACATACACATCACTCATGCCTCACTTTACATTTTGTACTTTCAGTGTTTTGTATGAAAGGCATCATCACGTTACTAAGCAGAGAGATTCTCTTTAGAGAGCAACTCTTCCACCAGCCAGGCCATGTTATGAGTCCTATGAGGTCTCCCTTTTCCCCATGCCACTACCCTTCAGGTCAATATATGGTGATTTTTCCTGCTAACAGCAGTTGACCTGTCAGCAACTGCAGAAAAAATACAACCCAGAGATGAAATGAAATGAAATTTCAAAACCATGTTGTCTCGGGTTAGGGCTGGGCCGGCCACTAACACGGACAGACGCTCTCTAACCCCCTCTTCCCTCCCAAAACAGGAAGGAAAAGGCAATGAGGCAGAGAGACTTTCGAGTTAGAGAAGAAAAAGTAGAACAGCTTTAATGAAACAATAATAGAAATAATAGTGAAATGATAAAAGTAAAGTACTATATACAACTATAGACAGTAGCCCAATATCAAATCAAACTCCCTCCCTCAATAGCAGTCTCCACTGGTGCTGCAGAGCAGGAGGCACTGGGGAAGCCCCAGGCTCAGCGGCGGCGGGAGCTGGATAAAGGGACCTGGATTCGGGAACTGAGGATCCAGATCAAAACCAGGAGATCGGATGGAGTCCTCCCTGGACACCAGCCATTGCAGAAAAGGGGCAAAACTCTCGTGATCACTAAATATGACATATATGGAATGGAATACTCTCATTGGTCACCTGTCCTGTCTATTACCCCCCGGAGTTGCAACCTTTTACTTCCTTGTGACCCCTCTTACTACCCGGCACCCCCAGCGTGGCACACAAGAGCCAGCAGTGGCCTTGGTCACTGTAGGAATAAGTATCAGCAAGAGCCTTTCTGCATCCCAGTCCCAGGCAGTAACTGTAAACATCAGGTGTTATCACTGTCTGCAGAAACATGCTGCTAACTTCAGAAAGTGCAGCCTTTTAGAAGATACTAAACTGGAAAGTAAAAATTACTAAACAGAACTGGTTTTTTAGCTAAACCCAGGACACATGTATACAATCTCATTAGGTTTACAGGGATCCTGACAGACCTGTCTTGGACAAAGTATGTTCAGGCAGGTTAGTGAGTAGAAGAATGACTGTTTATACCAACTGAGGATCTGTCCCATTGGTTCATGCAATGCGTAACAGCTGTCAGGGAGAAAGGCACCCAAAAGGAAGACCTACGGCTTGAGGCTCCCCCCCCCCCCCCCCCTGTTCACTCATCCCCTTCAGACACTGCCAGGCTCTCCTGATCTGCATTACTCTTGGGCACGCTGTCACTGCATAAACTCACAGCTTTGCCTTCTCATGCAAAAAATAAGAAGGCAATCTCTTGGGTTTCCCATTTTTTCTTGTCTTTCCCTTTTCTCTGCTCCTCCACTGTTTGCCTGACCGTTCTCTGACCTCTTATACCCTTGTGTGTCTCAGGACTCCCTGTACTCCTATGCTGTCCCTCCTGTAAGGTCTCATCAAGGCTCTTCTCCCTTAGAAAAGATGCAAAGCAGAGTCTTTGACTTCCTCAGCACTCATGTATTTTTAATCTTTTTTGCTGTCACTAATCTTTGCAGAAACCAGTTTTATAGTTCTTTTTTTTTTCTTTTTCTGTGGCTTCTTGACTGTAAACTATCTTGTAAACACTGCAGCAACATAAATCATGGATTAAAGTACCACTCAATGATGGAAAGCCCCAACAACTTGGAGAACAGAGTAAGCTAGAAGAAGCCAAGTAAGCAGGGAAGTTTGAGGGGGACTGATGTATTCTCAGGACCATTTCAGGCCACCATAACAATAGTTTCCACAGGAAAAACTGTTCTACTGAAAAATTTCTGATCTGCTCTACTGTTAGTCATAATTGCTGTCATTTCAACTAACCTTTTTTTTTTTTTTCTAATTCCAGATCCATTTTTCTGCTCTTTTAGAACATTCACCTGCAATGTTACTCAACTAGAGTTTAAAGTAAATGCTTTTCTGTCTGTTTCTAAACTAGGGATATGGAGGTAAAGAGAAGGCTTTCATTGCAACTCAGGGACCCATGATTAATACCGTGAATGATTTCTGGCAGATGGTTTGGCAAGAAGACAGCCCTGTCATTGTTATGATCACAAAGCTGAAAGAAAAAAATGAGGTATGACAACTAGCCAAACTGAGAAATTATTCCTATGGCTGTTTACTGTAGAAAGAACCTTAGCAGGTATGGAGGGAAGCTAGCAGATAACCACCTCCTAAATACTCTGATAACAGGCAAAGTGAAAAGTAGTGTGTTTGTTGCCAAATGCACCAACTGCAACTGCATAGCAGTTTGAAGAGATATATTTTAAACAGACAAAAAGAGACTTCATTTTCTAGATCTATACTGTTAAGTTCGTAATTTTTTAAGAAACATCTCCTTTGTGCGTTGATCACCTCTGTATTTCTTGTTGCTTTCTGATATATAAAAAATAGATGGTTAGTGTTATGATTTGAGGTTTCCTGACGTGGTTGAAGTTTGTACTTTGCTATAATGGCAGGTTGTGAATCCATTTCAGACGTTACGAATCTTCTGGACCTTCCCAGAAATACAGTCTGGACTCCCAAAAGCCAATACTGTAGAGCGACTTAGCTGTTTACAAGGGCATATAGCGACAGGATAAGGCGTTTTAAGCTAGAGCAGGGTAGATTTAAGTTGCAAGTTAGAAAGAAGTTCTTTACAATAAGGGTGGTGAAACACTGGAATGGGTTGCCCAGAGAGGTGATGAAGGCCCCATCACTGGAAACATTCAAGGTCAGGTCTAATGAGGTTCTGAGCAACCTAATCTAGTTAAACATGTCCCTGCTCACTGCAGGGGAGGTTGGGGTAGATGAACTTTAAAGGTCCCTTCCAGCCCAACTCTTTCAATGATTCTAGAACGAAAATACACAGCTCTTTAGTGTCAAGTAGAGATGACAATTCCATTTTAATTGCTGATGGCCATCTAACTGCCTGTTATACATTTTATGACTTCTGGATCAATTCTCAACTACATCTTTAATAGCTTTATTTACTATTCATGTAAATTGTTGCTGCCAGGCTTTCCTTGATACTGCCAGAGTCTGTATTTGTGACTGCCAGATATTAGAAATGAAAATCACTCTCATGCAGAAGGCCAACACAAAGTTCTGTTCTGGAACATTGAATGTTAAAGAAGTGGCTTACAGGGCCTGTGGACAAGAGAGACGTGGACAGAAAGGTGCTGGACTTTTTTCTTGAGTCCAAACTGCTGGACTTGGTAGCAATTCCTTACTCTAGGTAGGAGCTTCAACCAAGTTTCAACACCTTACCACGTAAGCACCAGGGCCATATCACCCCTGCTCCACCCACACCCCTGCTCTTCAAACTCAGATGCACTGGATGATAGAGAAACCGAGTTTATTCAGGCAAAGTTTCCCATCTGAATGATCAAGGGAACAAGATCCTGAGTGTGTTCCCAGGGCTCAAACTCACTGTTTCATTTAAAAGTGGACTCATTGACATACTCTTCTTTCTTCTAACCTTGAGCTGCTTGGATCTGTGTCACCGTGAGTTTGGGCTTCTAATATGAACTTAAAATCCAGTGGATTTTAAGAAAGCTGTATGTAAAAAGTAGGTTGGTCCTGTAAAATTTTGCAAAGACATATTTCCAAACCACATGCCATTTTGCACTAGACTGTTCAAACAAGTGTCCAGAAGCCTACATTAAAAAGATTAGTCCTGAAAATGTAGAAAGCTTATCCCATCCTAATTGGCTGAAAGAATAAGTATTTTGCAGAGGAAATGCTGACTGTTTAAACACTCACATCTGACACTGTGTAAGAAGAATGACTTGAAAGAACTGCTCAGTGGTTTCCATCATCTCAGGAAGCCCTGTGTTTACCTGAGTTACGCAGGCTTTAGGCACTGGTGTTTATCTGCATTGTTGTGGCCTGGCAGTGGTAATTTCCTCCTCATAGAAAGGGTGGGGAATCTCAAGTCGTTCCCAGGCTATATAGAGAGGCTCTGATAGCACAAGCTGTCCTACCCTGTCTAGAAACTTCAGGAACTCTCCCACCGTTAGTGGGTCCCTCCTGAAACCTTGCTTGCTATTGAAAAGAAAACAGCTTAGCTTGTGACTATGCTCAGTATATTAACTTCGCTGTTAAAGTATTTTCTCTCTATAGAGAAGGTAAGAGCTAATGTTATTTAGCATAATAACATTTGGTATTTTTTCTTCTTTGTGGTCTGCTCTATTTCTGTCATTTTCAGGGAGGTACCTCTGCAGTATACACACATATAAATACCTTTTTATTTGAAAAATTATTCATCCACACATCCACATCTACCTATGTGCAAATAAATTCCTATACCTGACTCTCCAGTATAGGCCCCATTCCTCAGTTGGTATAACATCAGTCAGCCTCCATTTGAGCTGTAATATACTATAATGTATAAAGTACTGTATAATGAGGGAGCTGTCAAGTAAGAGACACATGATAAACCTTTATCTCAAAAATACATTCATTTGTTTAGCATGAGTAAAATTATTTGGGGCATTAGTGCCCTAGTTCAATGTACTGATGTGATGAATTTGCAGTAACAACGGGAATTGTGTGAAATGACGATAAACAAAGATTTCTATGAGATTTCCATGAGATGGAAAAATGGTTAAGACTCGCTGTGGTAACAGTTTTTGTAAGATGGATGAAGATATAATATGAAAGTAGAGTGCCAAGCAAAATGCTCATTTCAACTGTACAAAAAAAATGTGGGGCATTAAATGATTGGCTTTTCTTTCTTTTTCATTTTGAAGTCTAATTTAAAAAATAAAGGAGATTGATTTATCAGCAAGAGTAACGCTGAAGGAACTATGGGTGCTGTGAATATTTTAAGCAGAATGTGTAAAACCTGTCCTCAAAACTACACAATGTCTGAACAGATTGGAAATCTACCTGTGCAAAGAGGCCACAGCAAAGGAGCTTCTGCCTGAGTAAACAATGAGAGACTTAGAATTCTAGGCTATAATCTTAGGGTTAACATCAGGGAAAACTCATCTCACGGAGCGATCTAGCTACTGGTCTTGCTGGTCACTGAAGAGCAGGAGTCACCTCCAGAGGGTGATCCATCCCATTCTAAGAGAATGAGATAAATCACTCATTGAAGGTGTCCGTCTCTAATTCTGTACGAGTATTTTAGGACATGGTCTTACAAAGCTTTATCCACAGGATATATATAAACTTAATTTATTACTGAGCTTAGTCAAGACAACTGAGCAGTGGAATTTAGACAAATATGTAGAGCATGAGAACTTTATAGGCTTGTATATAATTTTATAGAAAAGTTTATAGACTTCGGTTGTATCAACTGTTGTTTGTAGTCATTCTATGTACTGCATAGATAACACACGTTTAGTTTGATTTCAAAATTTACTAAGCGACATTACTTGTTAACCAGGAAACATATTTAAAGAAACTTTGGTAAAGAATACAGTGTAACAATCTGCAAGAAGAAAGGACTAGTACTGACAGACACATTAAACAATGCTTGTTTATTCAGCTCAGATAACGTAAATCTTTTTGTCAGTAATTATCTAGGACAATCTTGTTAACTCACAGTCTAAAGCTCATATTATTTTTCATGTAACATTTTTTCCCACAGCTGGTCTATAACTGTGCTTATCTACACATAGCAAAGTAGATTTTGGAATTTGGAAATCCTATCTTTTACAGAATTCATATGAGCCTCTTTGAAGATTACTTATTAGTTCAGTTGAGTATTGGCACCGTAGATATGTCTTAGGTTTTGGAAATACTTAAGAAGATTTAGTCCGAACTTTGAGGATTTTAGTATATGAAGGCAAATCCTGCAAGTCCTCTTAAAGTGTACATCTCATGCTTGAGTTAGTAGTGACAGTAAATAGAGTAAAATAGGATTCTGGAGTTGAAACTTTGTTGTAATTATTCATTACTGTTGTGTGCTGGCCTGGTTATTGGGACATTTAATGTGTAAACTTGTTGGCATAACTATATGGAAAAATAAAGAGAAATAGAGCTGAAGTAAAGCAACTTAACAAATACCTGAGAATTTTTAAACTAATTTTGTTTGGGTTCCAAATCCAGGGAAAGCACCTTCCTCCATTCAGCAGAATTGAGGGACCAGACTGCACCAGGAGCACTTGGGGCAAGTTAAAAAAGGTCTGTGCTCCTGAACACAGACTGACAGTGGCAAATAGCAGGTACCAACCCTAGTCCAAGGCAGGGCCAGATCCTGCTCAGCCACGGAGATCCATCTCAGGAGTGGTCCCATGAAACCTGGCATCTGGCCTGCCATGCAAGTTGGTTAGGATTTTTTTTTTTTCTGAGCTTAAGCATCTTTTAAAAAATCCTGCTCGTAGCTGTTATATGTTTGCTGATTACATAGAGGATTGTACGTTCAACTCCAAGCTCACAAAATATGTGACCTATTTAGAAAGTGCTGTAATAGATGAATATGCTGAAAGGGAATCTATGAGGCCTGAAAGAAGAGCGAGGAGCAGAATCACGACTGCCACAAAGAGTGAAGATGGAGGATTATGTGATGATAAAAACAAATGAATTCTTCCTTTATTTTTGATACATACTATCTGCAATATACTTTTACTGATTACAGGCATGAGGCTAGAGAGCATCCCTCTCAACCACTGTGTTTGCCTTTCGAGCAGGTCTAAAATATACCTCCTTGAGACCAGTGGAGTTTTCTTTTAGGTTCAAGTAAAATTTTGAGGCAATTTACTCTTTTGGTCAATGTTACTGGGATTTTTTACATTCTTCTGTGCATATCTGATATCTTTGTCTCTCCCATCATCATCTTTATCCCCTTTTTACAGTTAACTTTCAAAAACTCTTTAATTCCCCTAAATATCTGCCTTCTTAGAATTACCTGGACCAGCTGATCCCAGCACTATTTTCAAGGCTGTTTTTTGAAGCAGTAACAAATGGTATTTTTAAAAGATGCACAGAGACTGTGTTAAAAATAACCCATTGTATATCACTAAATGTAGACAGACTGCTAAATGAAAGTTATTTTAATGAACAGCCCCATTTCATTGTCCACCCAGCTCAAGTTGCCAGTTCCAGTTCTGGGAAAGAGTCAAGAAAAACACTCTTCTGGAGTGCCCGAAGGCTTTGTAGTGAGCGTTGCATGCTTGCATTTATCAAAAAGTCTCAGGGATTGACTCAACTATTGTTGATTGTCAGGGTACTATTGTGTATTTAGATTTTTCTTTTTCCTATATTAGCACTGAAAACTACACTCCCAGGGAGGGGCATGAACTGCAGATCTGGCAGATGATAGCAGCTATATGTGTCACATGGGGGAACTGTGGAACTTGTGAATGCTTTTTTATCGTACAAATTTCTGAGTATTTTATTGCCATTCTTGATGTCTTCGGGGAAACAGCAAATGTAGGATGTTCGAGTAATTCTGCAAAAGACAAGATTTGAACGAAACCAGTCAGACTGGCCAACATTAATTCAGAAAATGTGGCTTTCACACACCTTACACTATTAAGGTAATGAGCATCTATTTTTAGAAAAGTATTTATACATCCCAGATGATTCAGCTGAATCAGTTATTGGATTATCAAGCAGAGTAACAGCTTAAAGATCATACCTGGTGGTAAAGCCTTGCATTTCACTGATATTTTTTTCAGGATCATTTTCAGTGGGATTTACTGGGAGTTATGTTTATGGAAATTAATTATATTAAAGGGCTTGTTTCATTTTACCATGTAATGTAGGCTACTGTCTCAATATACACCATTTTCTTCAGCAAGAGTTTGTGAGGAAATACAAGTTCCTTCTGGGATTCAGTTATTGTTGTAGAACTGTCTGTTCCCTCAATGTTTATTGTCTTTTTTTTTTTTAATCTATGCATTGAATATTAAAATGAAGGTTTCCTTTAATTGTTGGGGGTTTATTTATTTAATGAACAAGTCAGATTGACCATCATTATTTCAGAAAATGTGGGTTTCAAACATCTTACACTCTTAAGGTAATAACCATAGAGAGAAGTATTTATACAACAGGGATGTTTGCTTTCAGGTAGACCATAGAGATATTTCAATGGAAATGAATATGAAGTTGCAGTTAACTTGAAGATAAGCACACTAGTGCAAGGGGAAAATAAAATTGTTCATATTGTAAATCCTATTTCTTTGTCTCCTTTTTAATAGATGCTTCTCAGATACATTGCTGAAATAGTATAACACTACTGATTCATTAAAAATTCTGTTTGTAATTTTGTGTAGCTCTAGCAAGGCTGATGGATTTTTGAACAGTCATTTCCAGTAGGCTATGTAGTAGACAATTCAGATTCTGCAAAATATCTTAACGTGCCTATGAAGTCCCATTGAATTCAGTAAGATATAATGGCATATTTACATGCTTTGTTGTATCAGGGCTCAGAGCCTAAAGAGGATAAGTTTTATGAGGAGAGGACAAATTTGGAATCTCTTGCTCAGAAGGAAATCCTGATTTAAAAGAGTAAACTTGATAAATTTAGTTCTATGACTTATAGAATGTTCTGGGAAAAAACCAACATCTTAATTTTGAATGTGGAAATTAATTCCTTTGACTGAATTTCACTGAGCTTTTAAGAATAAAAACAACTGTTCAGAGTGTTCAGTGATAGAGAGCCATATCTGAAAAACTCACATCCTGAAAATCAGGCCTAAGTCATTCATTAAGAACTGTGTAATCCCTTATTTAAGGATGCTTTTAACATTGAGTCCTTCCAAATTTCCCAGAAAAATACAGTCTGTGTGAAGATTAGGTATGAATATGGCTATAGGATCCACTTTGTTGACAACACTGATGCTTGCTTTCCAGAAATGTGTGCTTTATTGGCCAGAAAAAAGAGGAATCTATGGGAAGGTTGAAGTCCTTGTTAACAATGTGCAAGAATGCGAGAACTATACTGTCCGTCAGCTTACAATAAAGGTAACAATCTGCATCTGAGAAGCAATGTTCCTAATGCTTTGTATTTTTAATCTTAAATGAAGTTGAAATGTTTTTTTTTAAAGGACGTAAACTTTTATAGGAGGAGTAACTGAACTATGAAGCTCACAGCTTCAAGATATGATTGAGACCAAAGCACTGGAACAAAGTATTGCTGCTTTGTATCATTCTAGCAATTCAAAAGACTTCAGAGAGTGAGGTTTCACTGTCTTGAATTGCGTTTGAGCCACTTTGAGGTCTTTTTAGCATTGTCAAGGCTATGTAAAAAGATTTTGGTTAATGAAAGAACTAGCATAGCGTCATTCTGAGGAAGATGTACTGCTCGTGTTGTTTCTGAGTGCATCTATAGCCCACCTGAGGAGCTAAAAATAGGAGCATATATGGAAAGTTTCATGCTTTCCTGATTCTGACTAAACATTATGCAAATAAGGTAGATGCTCCTCTTCTAAGATACTTCCCATATTACACTGACGTGCTATCAGATTGCATCAGAAGGCTCCAGGGAGACCTTATAATGGCCTTACAGTACTTGAAGGGGCCCTACAGCAATGTTTGGGAGAGACTTGTCATACACGAAACAGCTGAAGGATCTAGAGCTGTGTAGCCCCATAGGAGACTAAGGGGAGACCTTATTGCTCTCTACAACTACCTGAGTTGGCCTGTTCTCCCTAGTGGTGAATGATAGAACAAGGGGAAACAGCCTTAAGTTGTGCCAGAGGAGGTTCAGGTTGAATGTTAGGAACAATCTCTTTACTGAAACGGTTGTCAGGCATTGTAACAGCCTACCCAGGGAGGTGGCCAAGTTGCCATCCCTGGAGGTGTTTAAGAGACAAGGTAGATGTTACATTGAGGGGCATGGTCTAGTGGTGTTGATAGGGCTAGGACAAAGATTGATCTCAATGATCTTGAAGGTCTCTTCCAACTGAAACTGTTCTATGATTCTATGTTGTATGATTCTAAGAGCATGTAGCGACAGGATGAGGGGCAATGATTTTAAACTAGAGTAGGGTAGATTTAGATTAGATTTAGACTAGATGAACTTTAAAGGTCCCACCCAGCCCAATGCGTGTTATGATTCTATTATTCTATAATTCTGTGATTCTATGATTCTATGATCTTCTGCTCCTGACAGAGCATTACGATAAATAATGAATTGGGAAAATTTGTTTGGTGTTTCAGCCCAGGCAGTGAGAATTGGACAGAAGTCATATCATCCATTTGTCTAGCCCATATTTAACCCCTTTGCTTTTTGAGATAAGTGGTAGCAGCCTCTGTTGGAGAGAATAACTAAACAAACTGTGCTATTTGGTTAATCTAGGACAGTTCTTCTGAGCCTTTGACTTAAATACTCTAGTAATTTCGTATCAGACCCATAGGATAATACCCGTAAAAGGTAGTGGAAATATATAATAATTTAGAGATTCAGAAGCCCAGATCAAGCTAATATCTCTAGATCTTATTGCTGATCTAACACAGACACCTGGCAATTCCCAATTGACAATATAGTCAGCAAGTGAATAGTCAGATGGACGGAGCAGAACTTGCATAGCTGGAAAAAGAGCTAAGTTCTTAGGTGCACAAGCCCTTCTTACAGTTGTGTCCCTGGAGCCATGCCTGTTCCCTGCAATGGCAGGGTCCAATAAAAAAAGTTGCTAAATCTCTTCTAACATTGTTCCTGTCTTTCTACCATAATACTGAGAGAGATAAAAAAACTTGTTCACCACAAAGACGCATATAAAATCTATATGTTCTGTTCAGCAAGGGAGTCAGTCCCGGAGTGTGAAACACTACTGGTACACATCCTGGCCAGACCACAAAACACCCGACAGTGCTCAGCCTCTGCTGCAGCTCATGCTGGACGTAGAAGAGGACCGGGTGGAATCACCAGGCAGAGGACCTGTCGTTGTGCACTGCAGGTAATTTACAATCCTTCTTTTAAATGACTGCCCAAAGTAAGGCCACAGCAAATCACAGCAAACCGACCACCTCCTAAACAGAACATATCTGGGGAAGAGTAAAATACTCCAGATCCTCTTCATGCTAACTGACTTTTTCAGTTCATATTTGAGTTTTGGAGAAAATTCCCTTGTTGTAGCAAATAATTTCTGAATCATTCTCTGTTTCTGCTAATGAACTCTGGTTTTGAAAGATCAGCTGGAAAATTCATTTTGTTTCTTATTCCTGATTTGCTTTTCTTTTTTAGTCTTGTTGCATAATTGCATACCTAAGTCAGATGCAAAGCCCAATGAATGGTTGGCTAAAGTGTTGTAAACCAAGTCAATTTTGAACAATAGGCATCAGGTATAAACTTGGAGACCAAACCACATCTTCACTAAAATTTGTGAACAATTTCACAAAGGCAGTTGTTTTGACACCCAAGAGCAAAGTGCTATTCAGTACTCAAGAGAAGAATGTTAGTCACACAAATTGTAGTAAACCAGAGAATGTCCTTCTAATAACTAAAATTCCATTTTACTGCTTTATATTGATTCATTGCCCCACATTGCAATTCAAGTACTAGGATGTGTATTACTGGGTTTATTATATTGTTGGAAAGAAGTGGGTGAAGCAAAACAGAAAAAAAAGATAAAGTCAGCATTTCCTTACTTGCTTTGTCTTACAACTGTGATGATACCTTTCTTACAGCTGGGATAGTATTTTATTTTTTTCTAGAAGTACATCATAGCAGAACTTTTCATCTTGAACCACTTCTTTTCAACTCCATGTTTATGAGATTTAGAGATACGGAAACCAGATTTGAATGACTTATCATTTTTCAAAACCAGAATGTGATGAATAAGGAAGTTTCTCAAATTTAATGATGCAGTTATTTTTATCAGGAAGTTTAATTTCCCTAAAAATTCCACAAATCCACTTGTTGAGAGTCCCTTTTTTCAAGTAAGGGCTGTTGGTAATGAAGTTCTTCAGAAGAATGAGATGTCTTTCTGAGGTGAGTGATATGACAGTAACGTCTGTAATCATGAGCACGAATTTTTTCATGATTAAAGACCCGGATATCATCTCAGTTATGATTAAAATTGGTGGTTCTTCAGTGATCTCAGGTATCTATTCACTCACTATGCCATGGTCTATAGAATGAGTAAACTCATTCATGCTCTATTTTCTAGTCAGATAGTTTCTTCCTTTTTAATCTGAGTTGCAATTGAAGTCATTCTTGTCTTACAGAGCCTGTGCACACTTTTAAGCTTGGATCTCAGATACAACCACACAATTCTCAGTTACTTCTAGAGGACCATTACAGTGCATACTCCAACAATGATCCTTAATCTGAAACAGAAATGCATTAATAATCTCTGAATACTGGGAATTATGACACTAGTGCAAAAAAAAAAAAGTTTTTGTACATATCTTCTTGTAGCCTAACAGCCAGGGTTCTGTCTTACACACTTCAGTGATGAGCCCATTTAGGATTCAGGGTATAAGAAAGACTTGATTTCTTTTAGCAAAGTAGTTCCTGTTCTACAAAAGAATAGAAAAAAGAGTAAATGTTTACTTTGCCCTTGATATCAACAGATCTGATTACACATAAGCCAAGGACACAGATTTCCAAAGGAAGAAAATTTTAAATTCTTCCTAGTCTTTATAGTGGCATCCAGTGGAAAGGCATGTTTCTTCCGTCATGTCACTCATTGAAAGCATGTGATAAATGTGGAATCTCTCCTTTGGATGTGTAGTTAAGACATGAAAATAAATTTGAGTTTAATGGCAACTAAGTGTTTTGGGATCAAATACAAGTATTAATTGAGAGATTTCAAATATAGAGGGAAAAGATTTTTTATTTACATGTTATCAGTAAGGAAGAATTAGAGCACAGAATTATATTCTGTAAATGTAAAACTAATTTAGCCCCATTTAGTCAGTGAAACTAGGTTGGCCAATAATGAGGACCACAATGCCATTTTCTGCTTTCCAGAAGAACCAGCAATTTGGCATAACAGAGGACTTGTAAATTTCTTAAATCAGAATAAGGGATAAAATTTTCATGCTCAGAAACTTGACACTGTTATAGTTATTGCTGGAAATCTTTTCTTTCCTCATCAGCTAGGGCGTGAACATATTCTATAAAAAGCATATTGCTTGCATCTCTTAATCCCAAAATCATAGCAGTCTAATATTCTACAGTCCTACCACAGTTGTTGCAAGTGAGCTACAAGACCTTAAACTTCTAAAAAAAAAGGGAAAAACATATATATATATATACACACACACATATATATACACACACTATGTTTGGGCACTTGATAATACTTCAAAATATTTTCTAGATAGAAGTGTCAGGCAAATGAAGAACAATGTCATTTTTGTCTTACACTGTCTGACATAAAGCCATGTAATAAGATAGGACTGGCACGTCTGAGCTAAGGAGAAAATACATTAGAAAATCCTAGTCTTTGTTTAATATATATTAAGAATTTGTCCAAGAACACTTAATCCACCCCAAAAAAAAGAAATAATGAACCCTTCATTATGGCCAACTTCATTTACATTTGAATCGTTAGACGTTTTAGCCCCACATTCAATGTTTTCAAAATATTTGAGGGAGAGAACGGGGGAATGCATTAGATCGGTTTCTCCAAATCCCTCTTTATAAACTATGTCCTTCTCCATTTGGATACATTTATCCCACAGATACTGATGTCCAAAGAGAGAGGCTGTCAACTCAGGATCTTCATCTCAGTCAATCCTTCCTTACATTGCCAGTTTTACGTTTCATTATCCCCTCATGGTTGGCTTAGACATCATAATACTTAATATTGCTGAGTCCTCTTGGAAATTTTCGCTTCCAGATGGGAGGGCTCTTGAGTGGCTGAGGCACTTCTAGCTATTATTGTGTGGTGAGTCGAGTGTGATTTGTTTCAGCTGTAGCAAATGGACATACTCCCAGTAACACTTTGCACTCAGATATATCAAGTTTTTATCTGACACTCAATGGATTCTTCCTGGCATTAATTTAAATACCTCTTGCAGTGCTCTTGTTAGGCAGGTAGTATTCATACCCATTGCAGAGATAAAGAAAGCAAGGCACTAAATGGTTAAGTATTTACTATAAAGCTGGGCATGGAGATCTGGACCCCTGACTCCATGTTTTAACTATTTTCCTCGCAGTTTCCTGCCATGCAGCATGACAGGGATGATCTGCACTGAATTCCACATTATTTAAGCAAGAATCAGAGTGGGATAGACATTCTCAAAAGTATTGGAGGCCCAGGGAGTAAAAATAATGCCAAAATAGCTGTTGCCAATCAGGCATCAAGAAAACCTGGAAAGTTACAACATCAAATCCTTCTCTCTCCTGCAGAATCACAGGAAAGGGAGTTTAACTTCATTAGCATGGTTCTAGGTTCTTTTTAGCTTCATGGTTAGAGGTATGGTTAGCAGAATCCTTGTATACCTTGAGGGTTTCAAACATAATGCTCCACTGCTTCTTGTCTTTAGGTAGGCTTGTCCCCCATCTCAGTGCATATCTCTGTCATTTCCTTGGACCTTGACAGAGAATATTTGAACCTTGTGGTGCTAATGGATATTGGTTTCTTAACATCCACTTGTGTGCAAACTGGAAAAGTGTCAGCCTCACAAGTCAGCCACAAGGACTGGACTGCTGGAACAGTGCACCCTTTCATTTCTTTCTAAGAAAGTAACCTGAAAAGTTACCCTTGCTAGTTACGCATACAGGAACCGTGGGTTCTAGTAATTCCCTATTTCATGGGTTTAGTGTTTTCATATCAATTTAGCATTTTCCACTTAACTTCTTTGATCTGTGAACTCTGTTCCCCTGTTAAATTTTGCCTTCTTTTCAGTGCTGGTATAGGAAGAACTGGATGTTTTATTGCCACTGCCATTGGTTGTCAGCAGCTGAAGGAAGAGGGAGTTGTAGATGCATTAAGCATTGTCTGCCAGCTACGAGTGGATCGGTGAGTTCTGGAAGAACCATAAACTGTTCAATGATTCTGCAAATCAGTCAATGATTCTGCAAATCAGTCAATGATTCTGAAATGACTGAAATTATTACCAAAATAATCCAGTAATGGTTAGTAATGGTTCAGTAATGCTTCTGAAACCCTTTTTGCAGTTGAACATTGCTTTACATGAAGTGGCTGCTATCACTTTTGCTGACTCTTGTGACCACATTAACTGAATATTCAGGGTAACATTTCTATTTAGATCCTGAATAAGGAATATTATTTTCGAGGTGAAACTGTGTGAGACTCCACTGAATTAAATTCTCCTGAGACAGCAACCCGCTGTTCACTGGGCACTTGGCACTCCCCCTTCCCTCCCCTGGGGCTTTCTGCTGTCTGCAGCATCCCACTAGGACACAAGAGACATGGGGCAATCTGGAGGCAAGGGATTGTCTTTGAGCCTCGGTGACAGGGACATCCAGGCTCACTCTGTGTGTAGTTTCTTTATGAGGTGGAGAGAGCCAAATCTGGTACTGTTGCTGTTCCCCGAGCTGTGCTGGGGGTCCTTTTGAATTGGATTGGCAAACTTACTCAGCTTAAGAAAATAACAAGACATTTGTTGCAAGAATTTTCTTAAGTCAGATCAATTCCCTGATTGAATTCACAGCTTGGGAGCAGGAACACTGTAGGCCAGCATTGTTGTAAAGTGCTTTGTTTTGTGAAACCATGACCGAAGAGAGATTTGTGTTGGAAAGGAGGATGTGGTTACTGTGGACAATGGAAGCTATTGGTTTGGTTGTACTTTTCTTTCTTAGTCTGCTTGGGGAAACAAGATTTCATATAAAGTAAATAAACAGGGTTGTACCAAGAATAGGGAAGCCTCATTCCTCTCCTGCTGTAGGTACCAGGTCATATAATTCTTCTGCAAGTACGTTAATTGCTTCTTTAAATGGCAAAAAGCTGTAAGGGTGCAAATGCTGAAAAAGAGCTTAGGTCAAAGAGGCAATACAGAGTTTTTGTGTTCTGAAGAGCTCTGGAAGGGACTGGAACCACGAATTGCAGAAGGACCAGAATCCATATAGATGACCATGTTTATGAATCATCTCCTCTGCTTTCCCTTCCCACACGCCCTCATCACACTAGAAATTGTAATGTGATCCTTATAGGGCAATATGAGCCACTTGGAGTGAAAAATTCTCCAAGGGGAGTTCCTGACCTAAAAATCTCAGCAACAAAAGAGATGGAAGAGCTGAAGGAAAAATGCTTACTCTGTTTTAAATTATCAACTCCAAATTTCCAACACTCCTTCCTGTTCATCTTACTGAAAAAGGTCCGTAGTGTTCTCACCCATTTTAGTATTTCTATTCTGAGGTAACCTTTTTCTTACTCTTTTTACACCTCACTGCAGAGAAGTGGAAGCAAACTCTGGTCTCTGATACATCATTTTTTATATAATTATTTCAACCATAGGAAAAATAATCCAAATTTTCAGCATTATAACTGGCAACAAAATTTTGTCAAGTGTAACCACCTAATGAACTTTCTTATATGTATTAGTATCCCAGATAAGCTTAGAAATAAATGGAAATCTGACCCAAATGTAAATGTTCATAACAGCAATCTCAGTGACACAAAGCTTATTATAAAAAATAATTCTTGTGATTTGCATATTTCTGTTTGAGTTTGGGGGGTTTTTTTAGTTTATAAATATAGTATAAGTAAACTGAATATATAAATAGACTCCAGAAATCTTGCTTAAGGCGCCTCAGCTTTTCGTATGCTCAGGCATTGCCTGAGACAAAACTATATCTGTGGGTTAATTTTTGAAGATGTTTTTCTGGGCAAAACTCAGTAAAGAAAACTTCTCTTTTAATTTTTCCAATTGGCCATATTGCAGAATAGATTTCGCTCACCCAGCAGGAGTGCTAAAGCAGAGCTTAGCAGTCCCTAAGACTACAGTAGCCACTGCCAGCCCAACCAGATCATGGGTTCATAATGTGGGCGAGTATCACTGTTACACAGACAAAACTCGGTGAGACCACCCTCCCCTGATGACATGGTGGTTATTGGCTGGTGGGTGTGAGATAGGGTCATTGCACATAGCATGAAGGTGACAAAGTGGATTTAACATCCCACTAGACTTGGCTGCAAGAACTGACTCTGGCCATAACTGTGTTGCAGTTCCCTTACCAGCGTGGCCAACATTACCAATGGAGTACAGCCAGGGGCAGAGCAGCCACAGCAATGAAGCTGTCTTCCTCATGATGCTGGCCAGCAGCTGAGCTCCAAGTTATTCTTTGTACATCAGATTGCTCTCACAAAACAGAAAAAAAAAAAAAAAGAGTTCAGCATAAAAGGACAGTTTCATTTGACCAGCTGGGAGCCAGAAACCTGCCTAAGAGGAGCACTGAATATTTCATCCCTGATAGGTCATCTCCACTAGGTTCCCAGCCAGACTTGCTCACATTCAGAGTTACACCATCCAAACACAGACCTGCCGGTGGAATGAACACACTCAGCAGTATCCACTTGTATGTGAGCTTTTTGTCACATGTGTCCATGGCCACATTTCTACCAAAGCGAATTGAGCAGTAGGAGAACAGAGCTGTGTTTGAGAGGCTCACAGTGATGCTGTAGTGATTTACCAAAATATTCCCATTGCCCAGCACACTCAGTGAAAAATAAACATCCAGACAAATAGCAGATGGTGGCAAAAAGTTGTGCTGAAAAGTAGCTTAATTAATTGCGTATCGTAGCCCCTATGGAAACAGTTTAAAACAGAGCTCCAACAGGGAATAAGATGGGAGAGAGCTGTTCCTTGGTAAGGTATGTTCAGATGCCACTGTTTTCTTAGCTGTTCAGTGTAAGTTAAGGGGTGAATGGCTTTGGCAGTAATTGTCTGTGCTGAGCTAACTTGAGGAAATGGACTAACCCCTCAAAATCTTGACACAGGGTGAAAATATAGCCACAGTCTGTGTGGATTCATGGAAGGATAGACCCTCAGGTCTGCTCAGCCTTTTTTTTTTTTCCCAGTTCATTTTTCATGTTTTGCAACAGAAACAGGAAATGTTTGATGTGAGGCATCTTCAAGACTTTCTGTGATATCGAGAAACTTTGCACATTCTTAACCTTAAAGGCACATTCTTGGAATGACGTCTGATAACTTTACTCTTGGCTCCTCAGACAGGATGAAAAGAGTTTCCAGTGTGCGTCAATTCATTGTTTAAGTGTTTTGACTAATCGCCTCAGGTTAAAAAAAAAAATCCCAAACCCTGCATCACATTCGTTCTGGAGCATACTGCATCCAGCTGCACTAGCAGCAAGCCAGAGGGCAGGGTAAAGGGTCCTTCCCTCCTCCACGGCTGCCCAGGCGATTGGTCAGGGTCCCTGAGCCCTCAAGATGTCAGGGGCTGTTTCTTCTGAGTACCACCCAAGAAAGTCCCAAAGAAGCAGGTCACGGAGGAGCTGGCAGTGTGGGCTGGCAGAGGACGAAGGCCACACAGCCGGAGGTGTCGAGGCTGTGGATACATCCCTTCTGGGCACTAGGGACACAGGGGAGGAAACCTCCCTGCTTGAGCAGATTTCCTCCCGAAATCTTCTTCCAAGCAGCCTTTTGCATAAACTTAGGGTCTTAGGTCACAGATAATTCCTTGCTATTACACGTGAGCCTTGCAGAAGAACAAAGGAGAGGAGAAGTTGGGGATATTGGTAGATGAAAAACTGGACATGAGCCAGCAATGTGCACTTGCAGCCCAGAAAGACAATCACATCCTAGGCTCCACAAGAAGAAGCATGGACAGCAGGTTGAGGAAAGTGGTTCTGCCTCTCTACTCCACTCTTGTGAGTCCCCAGCTGGAGTATTGTGTCTAGCTCTGGGGCCTCCAGTACAAGAAAGACATGGAGCTGTTAGAGCAGGTCCAATAAGGGACACAAAAGTGGTCAGAGGGCTGGAGCACCTCTCCTATGAAGAAAGGCGAAGAGAGTTGAGGTTGTCCAGCCTGGAGAAGAGAAGGCTCCAGGGAGACCTCTTAGCAACCTTCCAGTACTTAAAGGGTTCCTACAGGAAAGATAGGAAGGGGCTCCTTGTCAGGGAGTGTAGCGGTAGAATGAGGGGTAACAGTTTCAAACTGAGAGAGAGTAGATTTAGATTAAATATTTAGGAAGAAATTCTTCACTGTGAGGGTGGTGAGACACTGCAACAGGTTGCTCAGAGAAGTTGTGGCAGCCCCCTCCCCAGCAGTGTTCAAGGCCAAGCTGGATGGGGCTTTGAGCAACCTAGTCTAGTGGGAGGTGTCCCTGCTCATGGCAGGAGGGTTGGAATTAGATGATCTTTAAAGTGCCTTCCAACCCAAACCATTCAATGATTCTGTGGTTCTATGATTCCCGTGTATAATAACACTGACAAGTTCAGGTTGTCTGGACCTCTGTATAAGACTCAGGTGCCCCTAAGCTGATGAGGATGTGCATTAGTTTTCCCATATAGGGTTCAGAAGCATCGTAACATTTCAGTTATGCTTGCCAGCACAAGACAAATGTAGTAGTGCTGGGCTTAGCCCCTTCTTGGACATTTTGTATGTTACTTCCTCACTGAAGAGGAAGGAACAAGGATCGTCCCCACAAATAGTCTAATGGAGCCAAACTTGTTCTAACCTGCCCTTCCCCAAGTCCTTCTCTATCGATATGTTCCACTCCTCCACCCCTTGCACACAGTGGATCTAACCCGGGAAATGCACTCCCTTAGAGGACATCTTGGGGAAACATTGCAGGGGGAGACAGGGAAGGGAGGGAAGCTGGCTGGGAAGGGGTTGCGTGGGCAGGGCAGGACATAGCAGTGAGGAGGAAGGAAGGAGGCTGGGCAGCAGAGAGGACCAGAGCAAAGCCCTCCCATCACCTTTAGACTCTCACTGGCAGGAGCTGGGCACAGAGGAGAGCAGCTGAAGGCAGCAGGCAGCCAGGAGTTAGGAATTTGTGGATATCTCTGTTGGCAACGCCAAGAGTTTGCTGTGTTTTGCAATGGATGGGACCGTTTAAGGGCCTGTGATTTAGTTCCTAGGAATAGCATATGATGGTAGACATGCAGCTCACTAAAGGATGTTCTACAGTTGCCTGAGCTCACCGGAGGAGCACAGACAGCTGATCACTTGCTTACAGAAGGAGGTATTATTTGAATTATGCTTTTCCTGCAACAGACATTTAACCATCCACTAGCACTGAGGAAAATAAAAGGACCTTGGGATTGTAGATGATGTTCTCTAATACTGGAGGACAAAACTTTTTGAGGCACTTTTACCATTTTTCATATAGCTTTGTATATCAATAGACCACTTTGTTGGCAGGGTGTGTGAAGGGATCACACAGCAATTTCTCAGATCTCCTGTAAGATGCCTGGCTTTGACATTGCTCTGGATCCAAATCTCTCACAAAATTTGATTGTTTCAATTAAGATCTAGCTGAAACGAAACACAATACAGAGCTTAATGTCTTCCTTCCCACTAAGGCCATTTTGTTGTTCACCCCCGCAAAGGTAACTAGCCGTTCCAGGGTATGCTGAGGATGAACTGGGGGTTTGATTCTAGTAAAGTAGGCAGCTTTAAATACCCTGGCAGATGAGATAATAAAAGTGGAATTACATAAACTCGTGGCTCCACGCCATGAGACCTTGAAGACCTAGCATTTGTGGCCTTAGTACTGTCAGAAAGAGACCTAGTCTAATTTCAGAGCTGAATGGTACCACTCATACCGTAAATATCACACCTGTAGGACATCATCCCCTTCCTACCACACTGGCAACTGGCACTGGAGATATGGGACTTGATCCTCATACTTAGACCTGAAAAAGGGATTGCTATCAGGTGAATAAGTTTAATGTAGGCATCTAATCCAAGTTGGCTGTAACTAGTCCTTTTTATGGTCAAGTTAAACTCTTTTGTATTGTTGGTGCTGAAATGAGTCACTGCTGTAAAATTTCTTAGGTGGCTGTCGTTCAGACAGGATGCATTGTAGGCGTTAGAAAGAGGACAGGAAAAGCTGTTCTCTGCACAGGCGATCTGAAGGTCACCAAGGGTTACATTTTTAGTAAGGGACAAAAATGAAAGGCCAGATTCTGATTACTCCCTTGCTCCATCGGTAGAATTGCTCTGTCCATGTATCTGGCCTTCCTTGCCCAAGTGACTGAGCAAAATTCTCTTTCAATATGTTGAATTTTAAATGTAGATTTTAACAATGTTGGTGCCAGATGGTTTCCTCTCCAATTTTTACCCCAATGGAATTAGGAATGGTGGTTCATGGTGGTATGTCTTGGATGGCATAAGTTATGAAGAAAGTGTTCTGTTCAGGCAAATTTCTCACTTCCTCAAGCAAACTCTAGGTTGAAAATTGAGGAAAGGGCTTATATTAAATGGTGGCCATGGGATTAGGAGGGGCTGGAGGTCATTAAATTCTTAAGAAATAACATTTCATTATGATGCATTTCCTTTTCAGGGGTGGAATGGTTCAGACCAGTGAACAGTATGAATTTGTGCACCATGCACTGAGTCTGTATGAAAGCAGACTTTCTGCAGAAGCTGTCCAGTGATGGACAAGAAGGCTAAAACCGAATGTCAAGTCTCTTGAGGTAATTTGTTTCATTACCTACCAGCAGCTTCTTCAAGGAGTTTACTGCAGTTTGCTTTGAGGCCAACTTCTGAAAGGATTGTGGATGGTTTGGCAAAAGTATAGAGATTGCTGGAACCTTACTGTATGTGAATGTATTGTGAGCTTCCCAGAAATGATTTATAAAGAAGGTACAGTACTGAAACTATACATGGATTTTGCATATATATCTAAAGGTGGGGTTAATTCTGTAATGCTGGTATCTGCCATATGGAATGTATGTGCTACTGCTGCAGTGGGATGGACACTGGAACTTCTACAGAAGAAATGTTTATCAAGTGTATAAATGCTTTAACGTTTGCAAACTGTCTTGTGAATGGACTGTCAACTGTACTGTAAAGTGCTATTACTGATTATGTGGTGAGCTTGTTTCTTGGCCACATAATATTCTTGCTGCTAAAATTGCAAGTGTTCAATTATGGATTAAAAAAAAGAAGATGAGATAATAAAAAAAATAGAAGTCTTGTTTTTGAAAATATTCAAAAGCAGTTACTATTTTATATGGAAATATATGGTCTTCAAACTATTAACTATTAAATGTGTATTTACTGTAGGTCTTACAGAGCAGTTGCAGAGCACAATGTCTGTTATTCGGTGTATATGTATTTACCTTATACTGTTGATTGTCTTAGAACATGCTTCTGCTACAGACCTGAATCCAGTGTATTTGTAAATTGTGTAAGTCATCTTACTTTTAAAAGAAACTTTGTAGCGTATACTAAATGATAAGGATTTTAAATATTTGTCTGTCTTTTATTAATACAGAAATTTTTGCTTCCGTTGTTTATCTGCTCTATCTCTTTCCATAAGAGATGGATGCCTTTTGTGATATGGACTGTTCCATGACAGGTTATATAAGAAGGACGATGCTGCTAAGACTGTTTCATTTACTGTTCAGTGAGAGTTTTTAAGAGAACTGCAAAGCTGGCATTATGACTTACAGCACTGGGAGGTCTGTTTACAGGGTATAATGAGTTTTTAATGCAGTGATGTTGACTTTGCTTCATACTGCTAATAAATTACACTTGATACAAAATATTTACTGACTCTCTATTCTTGCCTAGAGTAGTTAGTGCACGACACACTCTTGTGCCGCCCCAAAGAGGCACAGCCCAGTACAATGTGGTTAGCTTCCACCATGGCTTCAAACCGCTGCAGAACCAATCCAAAGGACACAGACAGTCTCCCACTGACATGGAGTAAGGTGGATCACCTGATGGGAAGGCAAAACCAGCATCGTTTGGTGCCTCGGGGGGAGTTCATGTAAGATCTGGCACAGAGCTCAGAGCTTTGCCCCTCCTCTTCCCCTTCCCCATCTCCTTTCTCCTTTCAACTTGACTTTTAGAACTTGTGAAGTTAGAAGTATCAATATCGAGATCTTGCTTGATTACATATAGTTGCAAAAAATATGTTTGTTGCTTGGATAATGCAGTATATACTTATTCAGCATTATCCACATCACCTGCAGACTTGCAGTATTTCACAAGCAATGAATTATACAAAAGTATAATCCCTTTTCTTTTGCTCTAAAGAGATTCAGTATAATTTCTTTTAGTTTCCCAGATGTTTGAAAATGTCTCCTTCTTTCGCTTGTGTTTTTCCAAAATAAAGCAACTAGTAAACTCCAAAGAATCATATGAAAGGACAAAGTGGTGTAAAACTCCCCAAAACAATTGAATAGAAGGAAGTGCTCGTCACTGACTTTTTTCCCCCTGTGAAGGCACATTTCCTTCCTAGCCTTCGCTTCACTTATCTGAGGTGGGTTTTTTTAAGAGAAGCATGGGGAGTTGCTAGAGGGAAAATGGATTCTTTATTTCACGTCCTGGTTTCTACCTGTCTTGCCTTGACATTCTCAGGTAAGTGTCTCTCCCCACTTTCCCTCCGCCGTATCGCTTTTTCTGCCACTGAGCAGAGCCCTCCGGCACAGCTGGTGACTTACAAAATCCGAGTCACTTCTTTGCTGGGGTTCATACAAGAGGAATGGGGGGCAGGGCCAACGTAGCCCATTCTGTTTGGATTTCTTTCCAAAGGAAAATAAACTGTCTCCTTCTATGCTGGAGAAACCTCTCCTTTTTTTTTAAGAAGAATCTCTTGCTAGACAATCCAGGGGCTGAGATTTGGGACAAGGTCTTAGAAGGGGAGATTCCTATTTTTTATTCCTACTTTGTGAGACTTCCAGAGCCAGGAGCTTTCTGTGATGCATAGTTAGAAAATACCCAGGTCTGCAAATATAGAGGGATGACAAACCTCAACCAAAGGAAATAAATATACATGTTGGGTTTAGCACTTCATAAATGTTTGAGTAACTGAGATTTAAAAAAAAAGAGAAAAGCATAAACAAAGCGTGGCAGGGAGGCTGCGTTTGAAATAACCAGTTGTGTGTTCTGTAACAAGTGTGGATTTTGTGTTGGTAACTTTGGGATTTTTTGGTAACTGCACTGTAGTTCTCTTCATTTGAGTGTTTGGTGTTGATCTTTAAGTGTGATGACACAAAGAGCTAATCTAATGTGAATTAGAATGGTCACAAAACTAACAGCTAGAGACGTTGGAGCAACTCCAGTAAAACAGATGTACTTCCTACCAGTAAAGAGCCTCCATTCCTGTAACAGCACAGGCAGTGAGAGGCACACAGATCTGGGAACATCCTCTTATATGTTTTCTTCTGAAACACTATGAGTTTTGCTAAAACAGTTTCCAGGCAGTAAATTATATTTTAAAAAGTCTATGTTGTAAAACTGAAAAAAAAGACTGAGAGCTCATGTGGATTTCTGTATGCATTCAAGCAGGGGAAGTGGGGTGTTTAGAACTGGCATTTAAAGTCAGTAGTTCTGGGATTTCTTTTATATCCAGTTTAATTGTTTCTTAATTTTTATATATAATGAAGGACAAGGTGACAGTTTGCTTTTTGCATTCTCATTCCTTACATTACCCACACTTGCATCATGTGGGTTGTGTGTTTGGGTTTTTTTCAAATAGGTTCAGCATATAGAAAGTTCGTTAAAAGCTCTACGTGTAGAAAGTGGTTACAGAGATTTATTTGCTGATGTATCAAGAATTTGCTTTTTGTTAAGAAACCATGTGATAATATGTTGAATTTTTTTTCTGGCATTTTCCTCTTCCAGAAGGGTTTTTGATTATCCATGTCCAGAAACAGCAGTGTCTTTCAGAAAAGAGAGGAGTCATTATGGAGAAGTGCAATATGACCAACCTCAACCAGCAGTGGCAGTGGACGGCAGATGACAGGCTCCTCCACGTGAAATCCGCCCTGTGCCTGAGCATCTCTACGCGCTCTGCCCTGTCATCTCGCAGCATCGTCGTCGATTGTCCCCAGGCAGTCAGGTGGACTTGCCACGAGGAGGACGGGCTCCTGAAGGTGGCCAACACCTCTCTCTTTCTCACAAAGCAAGGTCAGAAGGTAATGGCCAAGCAGAGTAAGAAATACCTTCATTCGTGGATGCAGCTAGAAGCCAGCGAGACGGGAAAACCTGTTTATGTAAATCTGTGTTCAAAGCAAGGTGAGCTACTCCTTCAAGGAAATATCCTGGAGGGTTTGGTAACAAAAATGTCTCTTTTATGCTAACTCAAATGTTAAAAATTTTGATATTTTATTCACACAGAAAAATGGTTTTCATAGTGCAAAAGAGTTTAGAAAACCATAAAAAGAACAGCTGAGACAAGTGCTGTCTTTCTCACAACTGTCAGGGAATTTAATCCATTTTACATTTTCAGGATGTCTCTCCTTTTCTCTACTCCCAGTCCTTGGATCAAAGTGCTTATGTGTAAGCTCAGCTCACTGTTATTGTGCCATTTCCTTTTTCACTTTTAAACAGAATTGTGGGTACTAATTCCTAGTACTTTTAAAAAACATGGATATATAAAAGTCCTTCCCATTCATTTTATCATTCAGATCCACATTCAATGTGTCAAGAGCAAGAAGACATCTGAAAATCAAACACATGCACAATTATTTCTCTGATTTACCCAAATGCATGATTAGAACAGTCATAGCTTACACATTCACGTGTTTACACATTGCCCTTAGATGCAATCTATATGAGAACATTCACAATTCTGAAAACAATGAACTGAATCAAAAATCTCAGAAATTGTTTCAATTGCACTGTGAGATATATGGCTTTGTGAATGTGTTGATATACCTGTGTGGTTATATGATTCCATTTCCATAGCAAAAGAGAAGGTAGAAAGGTTTGAATAATGCTTAATAACTTTCCTTGATGTCCTCCTGTGAATCCTTCCTAACCATCCTGTTGATGTTCCTTTTATGCACTATTAACCGGCTCTTCATAGTAAATAAGAACAACCTGCAGAGTTAAAATTTATTGGGGAAGAGATAATTTATGCTTGTCTTTACAGGATTTAAAAAATATTTTCTCACCCAATACTTTTGCAGATGGCCAAGTTTTCAGAATGTTTAAAACAACTCCTTGTTCTTTCTAACCTTTCCAACTTTTCTAACTTTCCATTCATTGTAAGGCAGGGTACCATTTTTTTCAGCAAATTTGCGCTTGCAGAACTTTACTTACAGCAACAGGACTACTCACCTGAGTGGAGGTCTGAAAGGACAGCTTGCAGAATCAGGGAATGGAAAACTGGCTAAGATGCCATTCCAGCCCTACCACATATTTCAGAGACTAAAAGGGCAAAATCATTTGAAGTCCTGTGTATAGGGTGAGTATGACTTGCTTGTTCAAAGACACCATGAAAAGTTAAGATGAGGTGCACAAGCAGCTTCATTTTCTTTAGGCAGCTGGATGAAGTGTGGCCTAATAGAGTTAAAGTAACCTTACATGCTTTTCTTAATCATCTTCAGAGGAGAAGCACTTTCAAGACCAATGAGTACTGAGTAAGACAATGGTCACAGGGTGTTACAGCACGTTCTCCTCTGTTTACCGTGCCCAGGCATTAATGAATTTACCTTACCTGCCCTGAAATTTTATCCATAAACAGGCCAGTAGAGCCACTTTAAGGAACTCACTGTGTCAGTTATCTCCTTTTTGACTGCTCTAGGAATCTCTGCTGAGAAATCAGCAGTAAATTATGGTCCTCAATTTCTAACAATTCCAGCTATACAAGAAACTCATAAAGAGTTGAAGTAGTGCAGAGAGATTAATTTTCCAAATAATAGTAATAAGTACTACAAGAACAAAATCTAATGCCCTCAGTGCTTGTCTTGACATCTATGTACACAAAAAAATTTCCAGTGTTGAACATTCGTCTACTTCCTCAGGAATGGATCAGCCCAAAATAATATATTCGTCTATATTTAGCTAAGATAGTAAAAACTGAGCAACGTCTTTGGAGCTGAAATGGCAGCAAGTTTTTCTACTCCTGACTAACACCATATTTTGATATAATTTACCCTTTGTTTTCATAGTACTAATAAAAATAGTTATATTTTGGCAAAGGAGTAACTCACTGAATTACATCCCAAACGTCTTATCAGCCCAGATGTAGTACAAGCTCCAAACCCAACAACTGCAACTACCTTTTATTCTGGACCTAACTCAAATGCCAGCCATGATTTTTCTGAACCTGCGGGATGTCTGAGCTTGGATTTGGATTTCAAATCAGCCATCTGATATGTGTTTGGATATACACTTTTTGCTACAATCCTGATCTAAATGACTCTTTTTGAAAATCAGTATCAGTTTAAATACATATCTCATCTCTATTCAGTCAGAGACCACTTTAACAGCAGACAGTCCTTCTCACACAAACCCATGGCTGAAGTAGCTAAAATGAAGAAGGGCCGCAAGTAATTAGTCTCCCTTGAGATGATGAGACTTCACTTCTCATCAAATTCATAAGGAGATGCTGGGCAGTTAGAGAAGTAGATTCTACAGTGCTAAGACCTTCTTTTCACAAGTCAGCTGTTGGGGTCAGAGGTTCTCTAAGCCCAGGATCCAGAAGAAAGGACAGGAATGGAGACAGGGAGGATGAAAACATGGGGGAGGTGAAGGGATAGAAGGCAGGATGACTAAAAAGAGCAAAAATCATTACATGTAATGCG